AAATTAATCTCCTATAAGTTATGGGACTAGATTTCGGTAATTTATTTTTAGAAACTAAGCAATTTGGATTGTTTCAAGGAGACCCTAATTGTGTTATCGCATTTATCGTCTAAACAGGTTGTAACATCAATTGGTCGTAATCGATGGCAATAAATCGGATGCTCACAATTGTGATACATTTTGTTGCACAGTCCTTGCTACATTTTGTTGTCAAATAAACAAAAGGTTCATGTTTGGCTCTAGACTGTAAACACGGAATTTGCGCCTACTGCAAAATGCCAAAGAATTCAGCAGCAATTTCTGCACTCTGAAGGAGCCGTTTCATGACTGAACTTCTAAGAGCCAACTTTGCAGACAAAGACAAAGGAGAAACCGTTTTCCAAAAAATACTTAAAAAGTACAGTAGTTACTGTTTTGTAGTGCTGGTCAAGGCAAAGAGTAAATTGGGCTCACTTTGGACTCCGGAGTCCGGACTACCAAGTTATTTTCATTTTCAACTGGAATCCTCGTATTTTGTCTAGAAATTATGTTCTCATATAATCAACAGCATCAATGGGTATAAAATATCGCTATTGTGTAGGCTCCAATACTTCCGATCCAGATATCGAATTTCCCACCATGTTCTGGTTTATTTCCATAGAGCAATTCACTAGTTGCTTTTCTGCAATATTGACCCACATTTCCGTGCTCCGCTTGCACGGAAACCCAAGTTTAAAGTTTTATTACCGATGTTGAACCTGTTTTAAATTTCCGACGCTATTTGCCATTTACATATTAAATTTAGGGCTCAGGTCATACTGTCGTTGTTTATAGACTGCTAATTGCTTAACTTTTAAAGCAAAGTTTACCTATTGAAGCTTCTTTTCCAGTGCACTCTGTTGCATGACAGAGATGATTTAAATTAATGAAATCCCGACGATCCCCAGAGTTCGCAACCTGGTAACTTTGTTACAACAAAAGCTTTAAAAGAGTCTCTTTGCTTTTAGTGTTACTTTTAATTCGGCAGGGGATTATTCGCTTTTGTGTTAACTGGCTTTAATGGAAACCTCCCTTTAGTCCAATGTAACAACGTCTATTGTGGCAAACATTTACTGAGTAGTTTCAGATGTTCGCCGAAAAACACTTTATTCATTCGTCTTACTTCTGTGGAAAAATTCATGACCACCGCATTCAATTCTCTATCCAAACGATGCTAAAACGAATTCTGTGGCAATTTTGCAACTCAAAAAAAAAACCACGCAAACCTAAAACTTCTTGAATTCAAGCATTTTTTGAGAAAACTGCCAGCATTTCCTTATCGATGGTTC